TAACAAGAAGGCCTACGTGCAGTCTCCAAAGTGGCTCGGGTTCAGGGGTAAGCTTGTGTGCTTGGGTGTTCCCGAGAACAGCAGCCCGGCGATCGCGGACGTCGAACCCATGCTTGTGGACGAGTTGACTATTTTTGGTATGTTTGACTTCGTCATGACGTCCTTTCGACATGTGATTCGTGTATTGTGGACACGAATGCTTACTTGGATGCTCCGCAGGTGTCAAGACTGGTAACAGACTCGAAGCCAAGGAATGTCTGGAGATCGCAGCACAAGGCAACATCAAAACTCACTTCCAACTTCGACGAATGAGAAGCTTGACGAAGGTAACTTGATCTCTTTCTACACTTCTCAGTTGATGATGTCCATACTGACACAGCAATTCACAGATTTTCAATGAGATGGAATCTGGGGGTATCCAGGGACGTGTCGTGATTGACTTGAAGTAGACGCATACACATTATCATAATTCCTGTACATACTCTCAATTTATGATGACCATGAGACATTCACTGTGCACTTCTCATGACACTTGGCCTCGCGCTTGAATCTCAGTAGAGACCGAGAATAAAATGCGCGCGGTGTATTGGAAAGATCGATCCGCATAGTGTTGCAAATTAGTACCAAATATTGGGAAGCTCGAAAAATCCCACCCAAGCGCTAGGGTTGTGGTAAATAGCGACAGACTGCCAAAGACTAACAAACCACTCAAGACAAGCCCGATAAGTGCCACGAGAGTGCCACGAGAGAGAGTGCTACAAGTGCCGACTCGGCTCGCGAACAACCGGGGTAAACTCCTGTTAACCACAGTATATGCCGAGATTGCGGGACAGCTTAGACGAGCTAGACGATAGAGTTCAATTAAGCTGTTGGGCTGTGCTGGCAAGCTCGGCTCATGGCGTCGGCAACCCGCGTCGAGGGTCACGCGGCCCCGGACCATCTTTCGCGCCACCCCGTTTTGGTCCCGTCGGGCTAATTAACCCCATTGCGGGGAAACAGCGGGGGGAAACAAGAGGCCCATCGAGATCTTTCCCCAGACTTCCAGCCTCAGAAGCCCGAGATCCATGATGGTGTCGCGGGGAAACGGGGAGACTTCTTTTTCTGACAGCTCTTCCCCAGACTCCACCGACACGCGGACGCGGCCCCGCGCTGGGGAAGATCAGAACCCCGTGGGCACAAGATTCTACCCCGGACTTGTCGAGTCAGAAACCGTTGAAGATGCTGAGTCGACTTCTCGCATGATGGCTGGCGGATAGGCACATTCTGCAACGGGCCACTGAGACCACAAAGGGTCCTTGTTCCAGTCCCCCAAGCCTCTTCATGGTGCTTCGGGTTCTGAGGCGTGGGTTAGGGGTAATCAGGCCAGATGAGTTATCAGGCACATGTGAATAGTCAAGTGCTGATCGTGATCCTGCAGCGACCATCCCGAAATGGGGTGGCAGTTTTTCTGACTCGAAGTTTCGTTGAGCTATTGGGTTCCCAATTTGGTTGTTGGTGATTGGTCTTTTCTGACACGTCTTGTTTGCTTCCTGACGCCAAGTCGGGATGTCTTGTTAGATAGCTACTGTTGCGTTCTGACGCAGTGATTTCCTCATGCGCCTCGCTCGATTTGTCGAAGAGCTGCATTTGAATCCGTCCAGATAGTATTTACCAAGCCTTTGAGAGCGGCCCCATCCTTATCTGCTTTCTCAAAAGAGAAACTCTCCTCCTCTCCTTCATTTCTTGTGTGGTGAACAACACAGAAGCGGAGCCAGAAATTGGCATGACAGACACAGAAAAATGGCAATTACCAACCTCCAGATCCTTCAGGCCCATGGCCTGTTTTTCATTTTAGGCACTCAGCTCCACGTCTTCGTTTTCCGCAAAGGGGAATGGGATACAGCTACTACCAGACTCTTCAGGAACTTCACACTGGGTATTGGGTTGCTGACGGCGGCCCTTTCCCGGGGAGCTCCTGAGACCTTCCGGACAAATGCGGCTGCGCTCAAGACAGCTGGTTCTCTCACGGCCGCGCTCATTGCTGGAATCTACACAAGTTTACTCGTGTACCGTGCGGCATTCCACCGGCTCAACGGCTTCAAGGGACCGTTCCTAGCGAGGCTCTCGAATCTGTGGATCACCTCACGAGCAGTCAAGGAATTGCACATGTACACCGAGGTTCAACAACTCCATGAACAGTATGGCGACATTGTGAGAATTGGTAAGGAACTCTTACCAATTTTACTATACCGATGAAGAATGCTGATCTCAATGCCTTAAGGCCCAACCGAGTTGTCTATCAACAATCCAAAGGCCGTTCTTCCAATCCACTCGAATCGCTCACCGTGCACCAAAGGCCCATGGTATGGAGTCTTGCATCCCATGTACTCATTGCAGCTCGTCCGAGACAAGCAAGAGCATGCACAAAGGCGCAAGAGTTGGGATCGAGGGTTCAGCTCGAAAGGTAATACAAGATTTCGCCCAGAGACGTTTTGGGGCTTCACAACTAATAAGAGGTCTAGCGCTTAGAGACTATGAGTTCCGGGTTGCCGACTACACCAATCAGCTTCTTGCAAGTATTGACAAGAACAAGGGAAAGCCATTCAATATCTCAGATTGGTTCAACTTTTACAGCTTCGATGTCATGGGAGACTTGGCTTTCGGCAAGTCCTTTGGCATGCTCAAGGAAGGCATTAAGCACTACTTTATGACTTCCTTACATCAAGATATGCAGGCTATTGGCATGTTCAGCCACATGTTATGGCTATTTCCCATCTTCAAGAATACGCCAATCTTGAATGAAAATAACAAGCGATTCTGGAAATTTGTCACATCTCAGGTGGACGAGAGAATCGCGGTATGATCTGCCGATGACCCGGATCGAGGGATCTGCATGCTAATTGTCATCAATTTCAAGAACCCCCCTGACCGCCCAGATGTCTTCTCATGGATCTTGGAGGAATATCAATCCCTCAAGAACCCGACTTGGCAGGACACCCTCAACCTATATGGCGACGCGTATCTTATCATCGTTGCAGGGAGGTAAGTAATGTCTCGCATCCCACCTTGATATCCATGGTGCTGGGTCAATTCAGCTGACGTTGTATTAACGAATTCGTAAAGTGATACGACAGCTGCATCCCTTACTTGTCTCTTCTTCGAGCTAGCCCAAAAGCCGGATGTCTACCAACGCCTAAGGGAGGAGATCGACGACTACTTTGCGCAGAATGCGGAGCCTGAACACTCCGCACTGTCAAAGCTCCCGTATCTGCAGGCTTGCATCGACGAGACGTTGAGGCTTCATCCTCCTGTCCCGTCGGGTGTGCAGCGCATGACCCCGCCCGAGGGCATAGATATTGACGGGACGTTTATTCCGGGTGATACAATCATCCAGGTGCCTACGCACACCATGTTCAGAGGCAAGTCTCAAAAAGAAACTGTTTCATCCTCCACCGTTGTCTCGGCTGATGAACTGCGTCTGTCATACAAGACTTTGCTTGCTGACTGTGGCGAAAAACAAATAGACGAGCGCCTGTTCCCGCAGGCAAACGACTTCATTCCCGAGCGGTGGACCTCCCGGCTCGATCTGGCCAAAGACCCTGCCGCATTTGTTCCCTTTGGTACCGGTAAGCACTTAAAATCATTACCCCCTCCACCTTTTTGGGCCGATCGGTGCGACGTGAGAGCTGACGACAAGGATGAATCATGGTAGGCAAGTACTCTTGCGTCGGAAAGCAGCTGGGCTTGATGGAGATCCGTTACTGCGCCAGCCAAATCATTAACCGATATGATGTTGCATTCGCCCCAGGGCAGAAGGCGGAAGCGTTTATTGATGGCAAAAAGGATGGTTTTACATTGTCGCTGCCGCAGTTGGAAGTGATTTTCAAAGTGAGGGAGGCGGGAAAAGTGACAGCTTAGCAAATGAGTGAGAGAGATGTGACGATTGGAGGTAACACAAGACTGCTAAGGCTGGAATGTCTTATAAGTCATGTTTAATATGTGGGCGAGGTATCCGAGGTATCCAGTGACATATCGCAATTTGATAATCGACGTTGCAAAGCCAACAGAAACCCACTTTACGCATTGATAAATCTGGCAGCTCGGAATCGAGTTTCGATAGGGCGCAAGGCGTGGTGTGGCTAAACGAGCTGAAGGGTCTGCAGGGGATGGTAAGGCTTTAGTAGGTTTCTTAGAGAAAAGTAGACTAGAAGTTCCGTCCGGACACGGCATCCGCGGAATGTCGAAGTAGTGCTAATTAGCCCCCGTTGGAGCTTGGATTGCTTAGGAAATCCATCTCTGAGTGCTAGCACAGTTGTCGACTCTTGTGACTGAGACACTCTAAGACCAATGCGATGAAGTGGAGGGTGCGGGCTAGCATTTCCCACCATTTCCCAACTGCTGATTTGTCGCTCTGCTGGGCTAAATTGCGTGCGGAGCTATGGCGTCCGAACTCTATCAGAGCCACGCAAAGCCACCGATGGCAGAGTTTAAGCCCAATGTCACATAGGATTCCCAGCTCAGCTAGACCAGGGCAGGCGAGACAAGGCAAGGAGAGAGAGAGAGAGAGCGCGAGAGAGAGCTGCAGGACAAGCAAGTGTCACTGTACAGCACAGCAAGGGTGGCCGCATTTTACCCCACATTCTTTGGTCTTTCTTCTCAACTTCTCGTCCACCCCTCTTCCCTCCTTGCTACACTACCATATTCTCAGACTGTTGTATCTGTATTCGAATGCCTGTCTAGAGGTGTGGCCGGGATGCCCGTCCAAGCCCTGTCTCTGCTGCCTCTGACTATCTGTCTGTCTCGATACACGATTGGTTAATTAAACCTCAAGGAGTAGGCTTCCTTTTGTCTTTCGGTCCCCTTTTCTCCCCATTAGTATTGATGCCCGCCCGATCCACTTCTGCACATCTACCGTCAACTTTCTTCGACACTATCCGGACCCGTGCCCGGGCTAATAATCGATATTTCATCTTCCCGCTGACAAAACCAAGCTTTCCCATCATCCGCTTGGGAAAGATAGGGCCCAAACCAGCGGACCACGCGAGGAGAAAGCACAAACACTTGGACCCTCAAGCGCGGACGCGCTTTTATTCTCGTTGACTCTTTTCTCTCTTTTCTGCCCACAATCTTCTTTCATAAAGGAAGAAGGCAAAAGAGCTATGGCGTCCAATGGACCAGACGATGATGCCCCCACACCGTCAGCAGCAACAGGACGATCAGCTCCGCCAGCCAAGGTCCCCTCCGAAAAGGAGCTCGCCCGCAAAATCCGGAAGCGCGAGCTCGACCGCCGGGCACAGAGGCAGGCTCGCGAGCGCACCCGTAACCGCATCGCCGAGCTCGAGGCCCAGGTCAAGGAGCTCCGAAAGGATGACTCGACGAGGCTGTCGGCCGCCATGGAGCAGCTGGCCGCCGTCACGCGCGAGCGGGACGGCCTGTTCGACACCTTCAAGTCCATCGAGCAGACGATCCGCGACCATGTGCTGCCGAGCCGTCCAACCCCAGCGACACAGCAACGCTCGCCGCCTCCCACCGTGACAGCGTCAACATCCCTGCCGCGAGCAGGCTCAGCAGCCTCTCGGGATGCGACTATGCTTACGGAGCTCTCGGCGCCAACCTACACCGCACCCATGGGCCTACTGCCCGAAACCCCCACCGCCCTCGACGTCCACGGTTTCCACGGTAGTGTCAATGGCGCCGTCGTCGGCAGGGTGCCGAACGGGTTCCCGGCATCCAGCGTACACGCGCCCAGCGTCCACGCACCTAGCTCCACGTCGGACAGCCAGGACTTTGTCGACGACGAGGACGACAACGGGGACGATGCCCTAGACGATCCCAATCTCATAGTGCCACCACCCGAGGCGCACTGCGACTGCGTCACTGTCCGGACCCCAGCAGGCCCAGCGTCCCCGAAAGTGAATGTGTGGCGGGCTGTTAACCAGGTCTTGGCGAAGCGGTGTCGCATATCGAAGGAAGCTCACGCGATCGAGGACTCCAACGACGAGGACATTCCCGTGCGGGTACTACTCGAAGGCTGGGATGCCGTCGCGAAGACCCGGCCATTGTCTAAGTTGTGGAGAAAGCTCCGCAGGGTCGACGAGTTGTGCTTCATGACTTGCCCACCGACAGAACGGCTGGCGATCCTTCGAACCATGCACTTGCTGCTGCAGTATCACTCCGATCCCACCCCGGAACGCTATGCCAAGCTGCCCACCTGGTACCTGAAGAGGTTTGTCAAACAACGGTCTGATTGTGCTAATCCTTAGACGTATGCTGATCTATTGCAGACCATCACAGGCGATGCCACATTCTTATGCCATCGACTTCTTTGTCTGGTACGTCAATACACCCCTCTGGTTATCACCATTCATGCTCGAGTGCAGTCTCTAACAACCTCTTAGGCCAGGTGTTCGGGAACGGTTCGTTTTCGGACAACACCACTACTGCAACAACCAGTTCTGGGAGCTCTTCGGCCCCAACTTCCACCTCCTCTGGCCCTATGAGTTCCGCGACGCGTACAAAAAGAGCGTCGTCACAGGCCAGTACCAAATTTCGCCCATGTTCGAGCAGAGAATATCGGACATCAACGCCTGGACAATGGGTATGGACTTCTTCACACGCTTCCCCGAGCTCATTGCCCATATTCCGGCATTCCACTCCGTCGCCCAGGCCCTGACGCCCGCCGTCACGTCACCGCCCCCGCTTCACCACCAAGCCCTGCCTCAACAGGCATCTCTTTCGCAGCTAAAGGAGCGTGACGAACGTCTTCTTCTCGAGCAGCAGGCCTCAGCCGCGGCAGAGGAGCAGCAACACCAGCAACACCAGCAGCAGCAGCAACAACAGCAGGCCAACCAGGACGCTATGGACTGCTCTCAGGCCATGCAGGTGTACCCGGGGAGCCTTTACAGCATGGCACCTCCCGGCTTCATGGACGAATTCATCCCGCAGGGCTATGATGCGCACGGCCCGGCTGGGACGTATGGCTCGATGCCTGGGTACTTTTGAATTGGTGATGAGCAGCAGAAGGATTACCAAACGATCTCACCCGTCGACAAACTGCTCACAACTTCACGCGTGAACGGTCTGGGGCGACGATGAAGCGTTTACCCAATGCGGAAAGGCATGCGGCTGAAGGATGCACAGCATCGAGTGCGCTAGCTGCACGTCATGGTCGCGCTGCGTAGCTGTCAATGTGCCATGACAGGCGTTTCAGGAACGCGACCCGCCGACTTGTCACCCACGATGTCGGCGGCGATCCTGACCTGTCGGCAAGCAGAGTTTCTGGCTGCAGTCAGAGTCCAAGACCACGACTAATCAGCGCCAAAGATCGATCCGAGACCGATGCCCTGCGCCACGATCTCCAAGAGACGCGCCGAGCCGGCTGTTCGCAGGGAATGGCTTGAAAAAGCGGCAATTAGACGCGAGGGACGAGAATGCGGGTACTGTGCGACGCAGCCTATCGATGAATTGATCGATGTATATCACGCCCAGCTCGGATCACAGATTGCGTGCGCTTCTAGGACTGGAGCTGCTAAGGCTACGCCTGCGTATCACTGTTAAAGCAAAATTTACGATTTATGACTGAAGGATTGGGTGCTGGTAAGCACCCATTAGGAACAGAATGGCAGCCATTTTGACGTTTACAATACGTTCGTCAGGGCAACATGCCGCGTGTATCAAGATGTACCATATCAAAATTTGAAGCGTATTCGATATCTTCATTCGTTCACATGCCGTGACTACTTGCAATGCAATACAATTTGCTCGTATATAGCTAAAACTACCTGACTTAGGAAAAGAATGTCTTTGGCCGCTCTAGAAGTTCACCATCCAGAATAATGTCGACTTTCTCATTGTAAAAGCACAGTAGACCAGCGATCCCCGCGCTCTCCTGCGTGGGAAGCCTGTAATACCAGATCAAGTCGCTATACTCTTTGCCGTTCACCACAATACTGTAGTACTCAGCATCGCCCTTGTATGGGCACTTGGTGATGAGCTTGCTTTTTCGCAAAGCTGACTGATCAACTGACGCTAAGGGCAGGTAGTATCGCGTAGGCAGCCCAGTTTCCAACAAATGAACGGCAAAGCTGGTCTTGGCGACGGTCTTTCCGGCGACTTTGACCTCTATAGGCCGGGACGAAGGGAGAATATCGATGCGCTTGTAAGGATCTTTGGGATGGACGTAGATGGGCGTCTCCTCCTCGAGCCACTGGTCTGTTTGTGTTGAAAGGTGGTTTTTGTCAGTTCCGAAGGTACATGACGGAAATTACGGAACTTCCGATGGTGGCTGAGACAACATACCCATACTGCCGAACTCGAGCCTTATCAGACCCTTTAGGGCATCGCTGATCTCTCCATTGTCGGAAAATCTCAACGCCCGGTCGGTGGTAAAGTCGTTTTCACCGTCCCGCCCAGGAACGGTCACTTCAACGACTGCCGCCGCGGCTTGGGATGCATCGGCCGTGGACTGGATGTCTTGCTTGTCTTTCCAACGGCAGTTCCGTAGTTCTGCTACAGGTACATAGTACTGCGGATATGCAACGTGTTCCCAAACATGGACTGCTTTGGTGGTATCGACGACGCATGTATTGTTTAAGATGACTCGGACTCTGCGGGCGGTAGGTTGAGTCTTGTGAGGGCCATTCGTGAGAAGATGTCTCGCGAGCTCAGGGAGACTAAGGCGGTTTGGCGTTATTTTAGCTTGTAAGAATTATACACATGATTCTTCTGCACTTGACCTATGGTTTCAAGACCTTGGTATGGTGGTTGACGGGAAAACAACGCGATGGAATGAGATGCATCACCGCCGACATGAAGAGTGACTTACTCAGCTCGGAACTGTCCAGGCTTAGACATTTTGCCCACTTATCGGTTCGCTCTTCCGGCACACTAGTTGAATTGAGCTGAGCTACGAAAAAGCAACTGCACATGAACTTTTGCTTTTGAAAGAATGAACTAGATATGAGAATGCCATCTCGTCTTCTTTAGTGTACATCAACCCCGCGCTTCTCCCCATTGTGACGTCTGCCACTTTACGTCAGCATTCACGGGCCCGCGTGGTCCGGCCACAGGCCCGGATCGCTCCGTTACTCAAGGCCCCACATTTCCGGTAGTTCGTCTTTTGCTACCAGCAGTCCCGGGGAACTTGTTTTAAGTCACTTGATGTTTCTCAATACGCGTATGTTGCTCATTCTTCTAATTTGAGATGTCTAGGAGTTCGAATCCGTGAATAATGCATCTATCTCGGTAGGCCCGACTGCTACAGGTTGAGGTCTCGGCCGTTTGAATTATCGCTGAATACTATTCTCTCAGCAAATTGACGCTGCATGTGACGAGTCGGTAATATGTGCGATCCCATCAATTGTGTGAACCCCAACAAGCGGCTCGTTAATCTGGTGAAATCAACAGCCTACTCTAGGCGGGCATTACCGACTTTTCCAAAAGTCTAGAACTTTCTCTGAGACTTGGTGGCTGAGACATACAGCAGATGTGGTTGCAACGGTTCAGACGGCCAGCCTCCAGACAAGTGTGCTTCCGGGCTGACCGCTCCGAGAAGTGGGGGACTGCAGACCAGGGCCATCCGAGACCACCTCGAAGCCACCAATTTGTGTCAAAAGGAAGGGTGTTTACCACTGAGCTGGCGCCACAAGCCATTTTCAGCCTTGTTTTTGTGGTTTCATGCATCAATGTCCCCTTTGACCCCTTTTCACTAAGTCTTTGGCAAATATGACGGAGCTTAACGCAACGTCGCGACTTTGCTGGCTTAGTAACAATCTCACCGGCTGGCCGGCCTAGTGGGCCTCCGGTATCCGGGGGAAACAGTGGGTCTATGACCGGTCCCTCAACACAAGATCTTGGCCTTTGGTCGACCAATAGATGTAGCCACATCAGTGGTGAACTCTTCTTTCGACATCCTCACACGTTATGAATGTAGAACAAAATGATCCCGAAGAGTACTGGATAAAAGTGGTCCAACCTCAATGGGTTCCAGATGGTTACCAAAGGAGTTCGCGTTCACGCAGGACTGTACATAAAGGCTCTCAAGTTTCACAAGACTTAAAGTACTGCGATTCAAACCGCGTCAAGCGACCTTGAGATTGACCAATTATTCTTTTTCTCTAGGGCACACATGCATGGATTCATAGAGCGCCCAAGTTTATAGTAACATTTAAACAGTCCACAACGGTGTACAATATTGTTGATTTACTGAACCCTGCAGAGGCGGCCGTCGCTTTTTTCCGACCAGCCTTCATTTCCCACACAAGTTTTGCACCACAATACGTCCTTTGGATCAACACTGCGCTTGATCTTGGACAATCTCGGGTAGTTCGAGCCCCAAAATGCCTGCTGCCAGTTCTTCTCGAATGGGAATCCCTGATCAAATCGTTAGCAAAACCCCTGATCTAGCTGGTTTCTCTCCTCGTCAGTTTTGGGAAACTTACTTCATTCATGTACGATCCTCCATCGGGCGTCAGTTGGCGAAGAGGCTCGAACCTAGCGTCCAGAATCTCCCTAGCTTTCTCTCCTGCTGCTGGATCCCATGGTTCGTATCCCCAGCCCTGCCAGGTGACTGCGAATAGTCAGTGACTTCTCCTACATGAATATATGGCCTTCACCTGGCCTTGAGACTGTTCTAGATGGCTACTCACGTGCATGAACATATGCCTTCCGCCAGGCCGGATGGACGGAATTTTCGCCGCCGCGGGGCTTCGCTTCATTCACACCCTTTCCAGCGACCAGATATGTTCCCAGCCAACCATCGTTGAGAAGAATAGGCTCCAGTGCACTCTTCAGTGCGTCCAGGTCAGTGGTCAGGGTCTTCTTGTCTAGGAATCGTGAGATGAGATAGACAGAGCCCCCAGCTTGACCGTCGTCAAAGTTCTCGGCATACCAGGCCGCGAATGAGTCGTACGGTTGAGTAATGGTCAGCAAGTTGACCTGTCCAGGCCATCGTTCCTGGATGGTTTTGTTGAGTGGTTGAAAGATCTCGTTAATCCTGGTCGTATCTTGGGTATCCAGAATGATTGTCTTGCCCATCAGACCGGCAACTCGCTCTGGGAGACCCGGCAGTGGAATCGGCGGCGTCGAGTTCACGGTAGCCATGAGATAACCTGACAATCCAGAGTCTGAGAGGTAAGGAAGCTGAGAAGCGGCCCAAGTAGCGAGGTCTAGAGTGAAGGGAGCCTCAGGAACAGTAAAGGCCATAAATAAAACCATAGTGAGCTTCTTTTCAGGATGCGTCTTGACTGTGACAGAGGTGAGAACCCCAAATGTCGAACCTCCTCCCTAGCATTACCAAGTTAGTAGATGAACAGCAAAAGCTCCCGCAATCCAAGACTTACACCTCGCATGGCCCAGAACAAGTCGGCGTTTTGATCTTCGTTGACCGTGATAAGATCGCCACCAGGGGTAACGACCTCCATCTGCAGCACATTATCTGCCGCAAGACCGTAATGGGGTGCTAAGATGGAATGACCACCGCCCGTTACAAAGCCACCCTGCGAAACGGTCTTACCTCCACCGCCTACGACAGCGCGGTTGTGCTGGCTTGCTACAGCGTACACATCAACCATCTTCGCTCCGGATGCGGCGGTGATGGCATCGCCGGGTATAACCTTCCCCGACCCAGCGAGTTCGAATTGCCCCTCGTGATACTGGATCTCATTGAGATGGTGCGTCCAGATGGAAAGGGAGCCTGGCGCGATGGAGCGCCCAAGGTAGTCATGCCCACTGCTCTTGACAACAAGACGGACTTGATTCTTTCGCGCTGTGGATAGAATTTTGTCAGCTGAACTTGGGGGATTTTCTTTTTATTTTTTCCTTTCCTTTGGGCTTGGAAAACATATGTACTCACCAAAGTTGACGGCGGCCTTGACATGCTTCGCTGTGGTTGCGTTGACCACATATGACGGATAGCCTGCTCCGCTGCAAGGGAAGCCATCTAGAGGGACACAGGTGTAGTTGGTCCAATTGTCCCACATCACCGAGACAGGGTCCTCAGCATG